TGTTGGGAAAATTTTTAGAAAAAATACTTCTAGACCTTGGATTGGCATGAAATTTTCGTGTACGTTCTAGACTTGCTGAACTACATATCTGTAAAATTTTGTGTCAAAATGTGTTACCGTTTTTTCCCAGAAAATTCAGCAATCCAGATCAAAATTCTGAAAGTTTTTGCCATTTTCAGCTTGTATATCTTGTTGTTTTGTGATATTTTCATACTTGTATGAAATTATGAGATAAAATGAGAGCTTTCTTGGAAAAGTACTGTTTTTGACTCCCAAAAATAGGAATGAATGGGCCCGGCAGCAAACATGTGCTCATCATTCTTCGGCGAACGGTACTTCTCTCATTTTTCTAATTTATGAATTAATAAGAATATCTCTTGTCATGTCATGCCTTGTGTGTACCAAATATGATGTGCATGGCTAAATTGAGTTTTTGGTGTCCAAGACATAAGGGACAATTATATCATATATTGCATATGCTTCTCTTTAATTGACAACATTTAGCATATAATCTCTTGATTATGTTCACATAAGAGATTTTCTTATTTCTCTTGTTGGCAATTTATGATTTGCTATAGGCCATAGCTATTGAAATTCATCACACAACTTATAAGTGAGGCAATAGCATGAATTCTCAATATTGTTAGGTTGCACCTGTCGTTGCTAAATCTTAGCTTGCATGTGATAACAATTAAAGGCTATGACATGTTTACAGTGCTAGTTTCTGCTATAGAAACTCTTTGACATGAGATTTGGGCATATGATATTTAAGTTTATAGACCTCATTTTTCTATATTTATTTGCCCAAAAGGTAGATTAAGGACTTTAATTCTCTAAGGATGAACCTTGACAATAAATTCTTGACCAAAAATGGTCCACCTATCCCATCTATCCCTGAAGGATTGCTATGATGTTACAATGAGTCAAGTTCTTTTTACCCAAGTCTAATTCAATGCATATCACAAATCAATCCCTCAAGGATTGCAATACCCCCTTTTTCACCTAGTACGTGGTTTCAGAAGTAACATTTCCCTATCTGCGTTATTTTATTTGCGCAGTCTATTTTATATCACCACCACAACGTACGTCTAAAAGGGTTATCAAAGAAACCTCCGTCTATTGATTAAATACCGAAAGCCCATGATAGGGGATCAATACATATAATTTGGCACGTTGACTGGATTCCTAATGAAGATTGTTTCTCGGCATTAGGGGGAGATAATATACTACTCCGTAGCTTTTTGGAATGCCAAGAAATTTCATAAGAATAAAAAAATCTTCATTATTTAAATCCATGTACTAGTTAGATTGAACTGGAAGTTCAAAAGATAATCCATTTGCGATTTTAGCAAATAATCTGCCAAATACATCTATTGACCATAATGATCATAAAAGAAGTGACTAGGTCCTATATCCTTGGACCAAATATATCGATAATCCTTGATACCAGAAGTATAGGAGATCCATCGGTGTAAGAAATAATAATCATAACACTAGATCTAGTACGTAAAGAAATATTGTCACTCTTGAAATAGCTTGAATAATTATGTCCTGCAGACGTTCGTCCAGATGACGAAAAACCCTAGTAAGACTTATAGGTGCACCAAACAAACGTAATACTAGGGATGCGGAACGACCAGATCAAAATATCTTTGGGAAATGTTTAGAATCTGGTTGTTTTAGAAATTGACATTACTTTTACAAATAAGGTAGTTTTACAAAAAGGTTATAGTTATCGACAACACAATTGTCATTACAAATTGCTCGTTATATGATAATCTGGATCCAGAGTTAAGCACCAGAAGTGCCATGACTATTTAATATATAAAGGAGCAATTAAGGCATAGCTCGACTCGCTAAAATGAATAAATTCTCTTTATAACAATACACCATTAAGCATTAACCCTGAAGGTTACAAATGGGTGTGTGCATGAAAGAGAAATAAGAATAACAAGGTGATAATATATGAAGTGAGTTTGTAGCCTATGGGTTCACGCAGAGACCCTTAATTGATTTTAATCAAATATACTCTTCCACGGTAAATGACATTAAGTTCCGCTAAATAATACAATTGGCAGAATAACAAATTTAGATATGCAGTTAAATTCATTTTGAGAAATCCTGGATGGATTCATAATTCTCGAAATAAGGATTTATTTAAGTATTATTATGTGTCATTATTTACTCTTTAAAGGGTTGCGAATGGAGTTAATATCCTCATTGAAGGAATAATATGTACCATTGTGTGCTCGATAAAGGGTTGATAATGAACTTATTTATTATCTCAGTCAAGATTGATGGTGTAAACATCAATGAAATATATAAAGAGTTTGATAATGTCAGTTCATGTTTAAAGACTGAGACTTTTGAAATAAAAAGCTTGTGAAAGCTATAAGTATTATCTCGACTTGAAGATCGAGTTTTTCTTTGAAGATTTTTTATATATACACCAGTCAGCCTACATCTAAAAATGCTTTTTCACATGTCTATATGCATATAAGTGTCATGTTTTTATCAAACTAAAGGTTGCCTAATAATCTCCTGAACCAGATAAGGAACCTTTTTGGACTCGAAGTCCCTTACTTAATTATCGTTTGAGCACCATTATAGAACTAGAAGTTCCATAATCGCAACATATTTGCGATGAAATTGCTAGCAAAATCTAGTGCTCCCCCTACAAATGAAGTACTTGAATAATGATTAACATATCCTCCGGTTTCTTCGAGATACAAAGACATGACATTTATGTACGAAACCATGATAGGGTTTTAATAGACTACTTGGGTACTGGCTGTTTTGTTTGATCCCCGCAATGCCAAGTCCAAACTGGTTATACAATGAATTTTTATAAATGTTCAAAATGAGGACAATAACACTTGTGTTGCACAAATGTTATATGAGCTATAGAAGAGCCATAAGATTATTGTACACTACTCTAGTGACAATCCAGAAGATCTGTCCAATCCATCTCTTCAAATTTTGTAATATATGTAGAACTTGAAGATTGTTATCTTCAGGGGGAGACGGGAAGTACATTTACTCGAATCAAATTCGGAAGATTGGACGTAAAATCCTGAAGATTAAGTCATAAAAGACTAACAGTTGCGCACTATTTGCAACGCATAAATACATAAATATCATGTACTCTTTTCCTCACTAGTTTTCTCCCATTGGGTTTTCTAGTGTGGTTTTTAACGAGGCATGAGTATGATATAGTAATGACAATGGGGAAAAGTTGCAAAATAATTGCTTGAAAGGACAAACCCCAAAATCCTGAAGATTATGCAGTTTGCTCCATGAAGGCTTATGGTTGTACTCTTTTTCCCTTAACTAAGTTTTTCCCACAGGGTACCGTTTTCTTAAGTTAAGGTTTTTAATGAGGCGACCAAATACAATATATGTTTTTACATATATCAAGTACTCTTTTCTTCAACTAGGTTTTTCCCACGTGGTTTTCCTAGTGAAGTTTTTAATGAGGCATGGATATATTTTCTATTATACTCTTTTCTTGTCTAGGTTTTTCCGACAGGGTTTTCCTAGCAAGTTTGTATGAAAGCAAGATTGTAGACGAATATCCAAGGGGGAGTGTCATAAATTTTATCGTTTTATGGCCATTATCTCCCACAAACCCATGATCTTCCCCATTTATGATATTATTATATTGTAACTGTTATCCTTGTGATGTATATATGTTTGATTCAATTAGGGGTGTAAATGAGCCGAGCCGCTCACGAGTCGCTCGTGAGCAGTTCGATCAACGCTCGGCTCGAACTCGGTCAAAATTGAGCTCGGCTCGAGCTCGAGCAGCTCGTGGATTAAATGAGCACGAGCCGAGCTTAGGTATTGTAGGCTCGCAGCTCGACGAGCCGTTTGCGAGCCTTATAATATATTGTATAATATATAATATATAATATAATTATATTATATTTAGTATATAAAAATAATAATTAGGGGAGGAAAATTAAAATAGTTTAATAATTATGTATGAATAAAAGTCATAAAACAAAGTAGTTTAAATTTTAAATCAAACAGGTCAAATTCGAGATCAAAATTGAGCTCAAATTCTAACCTAAACTCGAGCTCGAAGAATCGAGCTGCTCGAGCTCGAGCTCGAGCAGCTCGACAATTGCCGAGCTCGAGCTCGAGCATCAATTCACGAGTTCGAACGAGCTCGAGCTCGAGCTCGAGCAGTGCTATCATTAACGAGCTCGAGCATGAGCATACCCATGCTCGGGCTCGGCTCGGCTCGTTTACACCCCTAGATTCAATGCTTAATGAGAATGGGGTTTATTCTGGAGTTGATTCATTCTTGATCTTTCTGCTCTTTCCCTTTCATGGATACCACCAAACTATAACAAAGTTGAATTTTTTGAAATCTTAGAAATCTAATTACTTATATGTGACTTATATGAACAAATATATAAATACTTACAAATATTATCTTACAATTCTTCCAAAAAGGCGTAAATCATGGTAACTCAACTGATGAACAAATATCGAATTTCACTATTCAAAGTTCAATTTTTAGAAATCTTAGAAATCTAATTACTTATATGTGACTTATATGAACAAATATATAAATACTTACAATTCTTCCAAAAAGGCATAAATCATGGTAACTCACATGAACCACAGAGGCTAGACTTGTGCTCACTGCGCAAAAGGAACCCCCCTCACTGCCGCTAGTGAAACTTGATCCCTGGTCATCATTCTTCCAAAGTTTCACCTCTGTGACCAATTGAACTGCCCATGCGGGTAATATTATCTTACAATTGCATATATGGTTTGTAAATACTTTAGATTTTTTTTTGTGTGAAAGTGAAATTAGATTTGTTAGAGAGCCTCTCTCTCTAGGGTTTTTCTAGAGTTCTCTCTACATCTATACAAGGGTTTCCTAGGGTTCCGTTTGGTTTACGAGGTTTCCGACTGCGATCATCATCGTTTTCACCGGTGAATCGGCCTGTGTTGGCAGCGTGACGCTGCTGCTGTAGGAGGTGGCGATGGAGAACCAGCCGAATGCCGCCGTGGAGGAGGAGTTAGTGGAGGGCTATGCGGGTATCTCTTTGTTAGACGAAGAGGAGGTACTGGTCCCGGCAGGAGGGGCAGCGACGCCGGAGGATGGAGGGGGACGCCGGACATGGGTTCTGGTTAGAAGGTTTTTGACACGCAAATTGGTCAAACTCGAATTCATGCGTGAAGTCTTGGCATCCGTGTGGCAGCCGGTGTGTGGTGTGCAGGTCTCGGAGTTGCACCCAAATCTTTTCATGTTCGTTTTCTACCATCAAACGGATTTGCAACGTGTGATTGATGAGGGGCCATGGGCGTTTGATAATCATACCTTGGTATGTAGACCGGTGGAAGATGGGGTGTTACCGGTTGATGTGGTACTGGATAGTGTTGACATGTGGGTCCAAGTCTATGGACTCCCGATGGGCTACACGTCTACGATCATTCAGGAACAAGTGGGTAATACTCTAGGTCGTTTTGTGAAGGGGGATGAGAGATTTGATGACCGACCGTGGAAAGCGTTTTACAGGATACGCGTTAGTATTCCGGTGGCAAAACCGCTGCGTCGGAGGATGAAGTTTGCTAAGCGGGATAAATCATGGTGCTGGGTGAATTTTAAGTATGAGAGATTACATACTTTTTGCTTCTTTTGTGGTTTATTAGGCCATTCGTACAAATTCTGTTTACAGGCAAGGAATTCCACTCTTACTGTGGATCAATATCTGTATGGGGCAGAGATGAAGGCGGGGTTGTCACGAGGGCCAAGACCGGTGGGTAGTTCTTGGTTGGTACCCGTGGGGGGGGGGGGGGGGGAAGAGGGAGGAGGTGGTAGAGGATGAAACTGGGCGGGTGCTTCGGGAAGGGAGGTGGCGGTGGTGGTTGGGGGGAGAGGCCGAGTGTTGGGGGGGAGAGGCCGAGTGTTGGGGGATTTCCGACGGGGCAGCCAGTTGATGGGGAGGGGGTGACATGCGGGCCTAAACGGCGTAGGGAGGAGACGAGGGGTGGAGAGGGAGGAGGGGAGAGGGTTAGGGAGGATGTGGCAATGACAGACGTCTCAAAAAACTTGTCTATGGCGGGTTCTGGTTCCCAGACCCGCCCGTCCCAATGAGTACTTTGAGCTGGAACTGTCGTGGCTTGGGTGATCCACGTACAGTTCGAGAGGTGCTGGATATGGCATCCAGAAAGAAACCTGATTTTATCTTTTTAATGGAGACAAAAGTTGCCAGAGATCATGCTGAGCGGTTACGTGTGAAGTTAGGGTTCCAGGGGTTGTTCTATGTGGATAATAGGGGGCCGAGCGGTGGATTGGCTCTATTCTGGAGAACGAATGATACATTACGTCTATTAAGTTACTCTCGTAACTATGTAGATGTGGAAGTTCGGGTAGATGGTCTGGCACCCTGGAGGATGACAGGTTTTTATAGTTTCCCGGATCGTGGTGATAGGGAGGAGTCTTGGAATCTTTTGAGACGCTTAAGGTCCCGTTCTATGTTACCTTGGGTAGTCTTGGGGGATTTTAATGACTTACTATTTCAGTATGAGAAAAGGGGGCGGTGCAGGCATCCGGAATCTTTGTTGAGGGGTTCCGGTGAAGCACTGGAGGATTGTGGGCTGCTACAGATACCCATGATTGGTTATCAGTTCACATGGGAGAAGGGGGAGGGGACGGAGGATTGGGTGGAGGAGAAGTTGGATAGAGTGGTGGCGACTGATGAGTGGCGGGGAGTGGTGGAAGGGGCCCGGGTATATAATGTTCTGACCAGAAGATCGGATCACTTCGCTCTCTTTCTAGACATTCGGCCAGGGGAGGGATTCCGGGGTGGGTCGCGTCAGTTTCGTTTTGAGATGGCCTGGCTGCTAGGTGAGGGTTGTAGGGAGGTGGTGGAGGAGGCGTGGGGGCGTGGGGTGGAAGGTCTGCAGGCCCGCATAGAGAGATGTGGTATAAGGTTGCAGAGGTGGGGTGGTGATCGTTTCCATAAGTTTGGGAAACGGATTGCTAATCTCAAGAAACAGCAGTTGAATTGTCGTGGTCGTGTGAGCCATGAGGCGTTAGCAGATTTCCGTCGTTTAGAGTATGAACTAGTAAGATTGGAGAAGCAAGAAGATGTATTCTGGAGGCAGAGGGCGAAGCAACATTGGCTTCGTGGGGCGGATGCAAACACTCGCTTCTATCACAGGTATGCTTCTGCCGGTAAACGAAAGAATACTGTTTTACGCCTTAAAGATGAGTTGGGGGGTTGGGTAGATGGTGAAGCTATGAAAGTAGTTGTGATGAATTACTTTAATAATATTTTTGCCGCTAACCCCGATGTGAGTAATGGAGCGGACTTTTTTGCCTCTATCCCAACTCGGGTTACCCACACCCATAATGAATGGCTGAACCGGCCGTTTGACCCAGGAGAGGTGAAAGATGCATTATTTGCTATGTTCCCAGACAAAGCTCCGGGACCGGATGGAATGAATCCGGGATTTTATCAAAAATTTGGGACATAGTTGGTCCAGATGTGACTAGTTGTGTGTTGCAGTGCCTGAATACGGGGTCTTTGTCAACTGGGCTTAATGAATCGAATATTGTGCTAATCCCGAAAACACAGTCCCCTGAGATGGTCACGGATCTACGCCCGATTGCCTTGAGTAATGTTGTTTACAAGGTTATTGCAAAGGTAATTGCTAATCGTATGAAGCCCCTGTTAGGCGATATTATTTCTGTATCGCAAAGTGCTTTTATTCCTGGCAGGTTGATTACTGATAATATCTTGATAGCTGCCGAGGTTGGAAATTTCCTTAATAGGAAACAGTTGGGTAAGGTGGGATGGGGAGCATTGAAGCTGGATATGGCAAAGGCCTATGATAAGATGGAATGGACATTCTTGAAGAACATGATGTTGGCATTAGGCTTCCAGGTTGGATGGGTAAATCTTATCATGGAATGTGTCACTACTGCTTCGTATAATATTATGATTAATGGTGTGTCTGGAAGACAATTAATCCCATCTCGCGGACTCCGTCAGGGAGATCCTCTGTCCCCATACTTGTTTCTTATCTGTGCAGAGGGGTTATCACTATTGTTACACCAGGCCCAGGACAGAGGAGAGGTTCATGGTTTAAGGGTGGCGAGAGTTGCTCCAGCTCTCTCACATCTCTTGTTTGCGGATGACAGCCTCCTGTTCTCTAAGGCAAATGTTGGTGAGGCACAGGCAGTTAAACGATGTCTTACTGATTATGAGAAGCTTTCTGGCTAGACTATTAATTATAATAAGTCGAATATATGTTTTAGTAAGAACACTCAACAGGTGGAGAGAAATGTGGTGGCGGCGGTTTTTGGGGTTCATCAGGCACATAACTTTGGAAAATATTTGGGGCTGCCGGCTTTTGTGGGGAGGAATAAGCGGGCAGTGTTTGCTTATGTGGAGGATAAAGTGAGGCAAAGAATAGGCTCTTGGAATAAAAAGCTTTTGTCTCGGGCGGGTAAAGAATTTTACTCAAGTCAGTGGCGCAGGCAATGCCAACATTTACTATGAGTGTGTTTTTGTTACCTGACTCATTATGCAAGAACCTGGAACGTGTTATGAATAGATTTTGGTGGCGCAATGGAAAGGATGGAGGGGGAAACATTGGCTAGCCTGGGACAAGTTGAGTGTACGAAAGAAATATGGGGGCCTAGGTTTTAAGGATTTGAGAGCTTTTAATGTGGCTACACTGGGTAAGCAGGGCTGGAGATTTTTGACAGATCCCAATTCTCTGGTCGCAAGAATTTTTAAGGCAAGGTATTACCCGAATACAGATTTTCTGAATGCCTCAGTTGGGAATAACCCAAGTTTTCCATGGAGAAGTATAATGGCTGCCCAGGGACTAATTAATCCGAATGTTAGACGAAGAATTAGAAATGGAAACTCAACTTTAGTTTGGGGAGACCCGTGGTTGATGCGTGAATCTGAGCCAAGAATATTATCAGAAAAGCCTGCTCACTTTGGGGAAGTTAAAGTTTCAGGATTAATTGATCTGGCATCAGCTACCTGGGACACACCGTTGCTTAATGAGCTATTTTCGGCGGTGGAGGTGGAGCAGATTTTGGCTATTCCAATTAGCCCAGCCTATGATGATATGTGGTATTGACATGGGGACCCCAAAGGGGTTTATACGGTAAAAGCTGCCTATCGTAATTTAATGGGAACCATAGACGTACCCCCAAATGGGTTCACATCTTGGAATAAAATTTGGAACCTCAAAGTACCCCCGAAGTGGAAAGTTTTCTTGTGGAGAGCGGTGAGAGGAGTATTACCCACCACCATGAACTTATATAATAGGAGGGTAGATATCCCATTAGCATGCCCTTTGTGTGCTCTAAACTCTGAAAATGTTTTACACTCTTTGGTACAATGTGAATTTTCTAAATGTGTGTGGAATATTTCGGGATTTGTTGTGCAGAGTACGGTGGAGGATGACTTTGGTGTGTGTGGCTTGAATTATTGCTCCAAAATATTGATGCGAAACAATTTGCTTGCATGGTGGCCATTATGTACAAAATTTGGATGCAACGGAATACCGCGGTGTGGGAGTATAAGGTGGGTAGACCACGGCTTGTGTATGAACGAGCAATGGCTACGATGGCGGCTTGGAACTCGGCCACGAACCAAAGGGAGGGACAGCAGCAGCCTTGCGCTGCTACTACCACCGTCGGGCAGTTCGACTCACGGCAGGAAGCTGCCGACGCTAGGCAGTCCGGGTTGCGGCTGTGTTGCTTCTTTGATGCAGCCTTCTCGGCCACAACACAGCAGGGGGCGTACGGTGTTTTACTCTAGGATGCGAATGGAAATTTTTTGGCAGCCAAAAATGGCCCCTTGCCACTTTGTCATGGACCCTTTGTGGCGGAGGCGTATGCATGTAGGGAGGCACTGTCCTGGCTTAGAGATCGTGGAGTCATGGACGTGGAATTACGGTCAGATTGTTCGAATTTATGTCACGCACTTGGCAATTCAGCGACGGAGGATCGCACTTATGATGGTTTAGCTGTTTCAGCATGTCGGGATTTGATGTCTTTTTTAATTTCCTGCACTATTATTTATATTCCTCGTTCTTTAAATATTTTAGCTCATTCGTTAGCTCAGACAGCCTCTGCGCAGGCAAACTCGATGTTGTGGGAGGATAACCCACCCTCCTTTATTTCGGCTTTGATTGATTAATATATACAGCAGTTTACTTTAAAAAAAAAAAAGATTTGTTAGAGAGCTAAATCAAGGATAATTACATCCCAAATGAGAAAGAAAGGGAAAAAATAATGTGGAGACAAAGTCCACTATTGTAAGTCAGATATCGGTGGAAAAACTTCACACGTGTCCCAACATGTAAATCACTCTGTGAGGCATGCTTAACTGAGAGATAAATCACTTGGCAAGAGGGTTTTGGACGGAATCAAATTCGTAATTTTCTGGTGCGAGAATCATACTTTATCTACTCGGTTAACCCTTTTGAGGTAAGATTTGGAGTATTATTGATTTCGTATATGGTTTATATTGAAGCTCAATTGGTGCTTGACATTTATTACGGATGATCTTATGTGTGATTGTAATACTTTTTAACAAAAATATGTTTAAAATTAATATTTTACTAAAATTATATTAAAAAATATATATTTTTGTTAAAAATTATTAATTTATCTTATGATAATGTTAGAAAAGTTATAATGTCAATCTTCACTTCTTCAATGTATACAACAACATTTATGAGTACCAATGCACATATTTGTTTCTGTGACATTATAGTGGTGGTTGCAAATAA